ACTTCGTCTTTGTGAGTTCCTGGTTTGAAAGAGCCGGAAGAGGCTTTATAATAAAATAGAGCCTATAGTTAGTACTGGATGTCTTATTTTACTTAATAATATATGCATCTTAATGTTAGAAGCTTTATTAGAGCTTTATTTTATTGTCATTGTAACATTGTGACATGTACAATGAAATCTTGTTAGGCCCTAGGCCACTACATTCATATGCGCCGCCATCATTGGCAACTTAGGGGTTCAGTGTCTTCCCCAAGGACACTTCGACATGTGGACTGGAGGCACCGAGATTCGAGCCTTCAACCTTCCAGTTGGGAGTTGACTACTCTACCCACCGCACCACTGTCGCCCCACATGTTGTTTGATCATTTAATCATAATTTAATCAGAAGTATTAAGTATAGCATTCATGAAATTTAGATGAAATATTCACAAACTGCACTATACCATATTGTAACCCTCCTTTTACACGTGTTTGTAACCGAACATTTTTGTACACTTTTACTTTGAAGGTATTACCTCCGTGTTTCCAGAAGCATTCTGAATGGCTTGATGCAGCTAAAGTCAAAACCAGAAGCACGAATTTTCCTCTTTTTGTGGGACATCAGAGGGGGAGGAAAACAATAGCCACTTGAAACCAAATCCCAACAAATAGTATACAGAAACTAGGCTACTTAACATACAGTGACAAAGCCATTTCACTTTAAAACCATCTTTCATCTTACGCCTGGTAGCTTATAACAACAACCTTTTATGATAGCATCATCAACTTTGCCTCTTATATGAGAGGAGTGCTGAAAGTGAGTGGCATTTCAGGGTGATCATGAATTCCCATCTTTCTCTTCCTGAATAGGGTATTGTAAGAATTGATTCTTATAGGCTCTAGTTACTTTATAAGCTTTAGTTACTTTTAATAACTTTAGTTTCCTTTAGTTACTTTTCAGTTCTTTGCTGTCTTTTAGTTACTTTTCATACCTTTACTTTCCTTGCTTATACATGTTAAAACTGTATTGATGATTATCCAGAACTACTGAGCTTTGGTTACTTTAATACATTTATTTTCCTTGCATATATATCTTCCAATTGTACTGATGAGAGTCAAGTGATACTGAAATAGAAACTGCCTACATTAACTTCTGTGTAGACATAGTGTCTGTATCTTCAAGTAATCAGATAGCCTATTTTACATTTTAACAAAAACCTGTTGGCCTGCTTTGCACCTCCATCTAGGCCCGTTTAGCATACTCACGAGGTCCTGCTTTGTCCTGTAATAGGATTACACAGATAGGGGGGTCTACAGTGCAGATGGCCCATTGTTCAGTTGCCTCCTGGAAAATCACATCACAACACACACACCTGGTTTAGATCACATTTCAGCAGGCAGGGGTTGACCTACTCACACCAAATGACCAATAGGATTACGAAGTATGGAATGTTGTATCTCTGTCCAGGGCGGACATAACCCCAGAAGATAAATGTAACGTGAAAACATAACTCGGGGTTCAGAGAATGGATTTCCTGCAGGAGCTCTGTCGCTCTGATCCTAGCGCTGTAAGGCTTCACCTGTGCCCAGACTTTGAGTAAACTTTCTGTTGATTTTAAAAGTCCTCTCCTGTCTTCACTTCTTGTGCTTCCAACAAAAGAACTGGGTTATTTCTAACAGTTAAACCTCAACGGAGACGATGCAGCGGGAGAGCAGGACTACACGTCAAGTTGAAATCTGCTTCAGATCGGGCTCAGAGGATGGGACTCCTTCTGGAGAACGGCCACGTCGGTTCAAGTTGGTCGATCCTCTTCAGTTACCGCTTTCTTCAACCAGTAGGCCTGGATGTCGACCTGCCTCCTCCTAGCCTTCATCTGGTGAAACGCTCTACTCGACGTTGTCTCCACTCCAATCTGCACCCAGTGTCCCACGCTGTGTGCCCTCAGGTTAAGCCTAGCTGGCTTCAGTTTGCCCTGTTTAATGCAAGATCTCTCAATAACAAAACTTTTATCCTGAATCATCTTGTTACCACACATGGATATGCTTTTTATTACGGAAACCTGGCTGAAACGTGGGGATAACACCCTGTTTTCTGAGCTTTTACCAGCTGACTATTTATTTCTTAATTCCCCACGTCTCGCTGGCCGTTGAAAGCCTGCAAAAACTCATGAGAATGACTAAGTATTTAACAGCCTGAGCTAGACAGCCTGTCTCCACTAACCATTTCTAATACAACAAATATCTAACCAATATCTATCTGACTAAAAAATACCTAACAATTCCCCCTTTCGACACGACCAAAATCGTGTCGAACTAAATCAATGTCCCAGTTTCCCCAGGTGAAGCTACCTAGCATTTCGAGAGGTGAGAGATTCCCACCAAAGCCACCCCCTCAAGGGTAAACTACAGAGCTGAGTACGTCAGGGAAAAATGAACTAAAAACACAACATGGGTACCAGCGTTTAAGCTGTTTCTTCGTTGCAGTGACCTCTATATGTATGCCGTATGTGTAAGCTGATTCAATGCAACTAAGAGCATTTGAGCAGACATATTCGTGGAAATGTATAAACATCATGTGTAGCAAACTTTCATTGGTTAATCCTAACATTAGGGGGTAACTAACACATGGAAAACAACAAAGATTTTCTTCATCCTACCATAATCATGGACACCACTCAATAATAAGAATTTAAGTTACCATTAGCA